CGCTTTGGAGAGAATGTGCATTTTTTTGGCGCGATCCGAATATTTCTACTTGCACCAGTGGCGTTCGGGCAAGAATCCCACAAACTTTTTTAATAAAAAAAATGGCACGGCACTGACTTTTTTCCGTTTTTAAATTTTTTTTTTGGAAATCCGCCATCAATTCTGAATGAAATTGGTTCCTTCAATTGTTTTCGTGGAATGCACCGTTTTTGAGGAAAAAAATAAAACATATTTTATTGAAAATTGTGTATTTTGATTTCTATTGATATATTATTATGTAGTAGGTTGCTGTCAATATTTTTAAATAAAATATAACCATCAAATTTCTAGTCAATATCTTTAAAACTGTTTAAAATAATAAATAAAAAATACAAATTTAAACACTGTATCTCGGAAACGAAACATATTTCGACCTACGACGTTTATATGAACTCTTTTTCACAAAATAACTTCGGCAACCATTTCCTAAAACCATGTACAAGAACAATAAAAGTGCCTATTAAAAAATTATTAATGTTAAATTAGCAATAGATATAACAAATGTACCTAATCCTTTTTTTTGGTTATAATAAAGAAAATGTCTACTATTGATTCTTTCACTGTGTTGATATATTATTGAGAAAACAGAGAATTCATGCAATAAACAAATTTAATTAAGTACTAAGAAAAAATTGTGTTGGCTTTAATTAAGGACGCTGCCACAAAAGAGTGCCTTCTACAAAGACAAAAGATTATAAACATTTAATTCATTCATTCTCATCAATCATTAATTAATTAAACTGAATATTTGGTTAATTTCAAAAGCAACGGAGAACGACGAACAGAAACCAAAAGAAACAAGGTGACAAGACATTTTTCAATATTAATTTATGCCCTATCCGACTGCAGTTGGATTAAAGAAGTAGTTAGATAATTAATAATTAATAAAATCTCAAAATAAATTCATTATTATTATTCATTGCTTTTTGTACCTCTTTTAATAACAGTGGATGATTAATAAATGTTCTCTTATTAATTATAATTTCCTTTTCTGTAATTTATTTTGCTACATTGGAACGTAACGTTTGACGTCAAAGGAAACTTCCTGCCATATATTTTAAACATTTTTTTTGTGTACAATACAAAAAATTTACAGTCTCAAGTAAGGCGCAACACGCGATACGTCTTATTCAAAGATAGAAGTCTGGGAACAAAGAAGACATAACATTTTCAGCGAAATAATAAGCTTACACAATCCCCTTGTAATTGGAATATGAAATATTAAGGGACTGAGATTTTTATACTGAAGTGAAATATCAGAAGCAGTATGCTCTACTAGCTATTTGGATATATACGGCAATATACAGTCAATACAATCTTGTTCTTTGTGACACAATCATAAAAGAGTTGCAGTAAATTTGAGTGTTTTTGATGTACAGTAAGAGAATCGTTTTCTTATTACAACGAAGAAAGGTACTATGAGGTAATTTATCACCATTTGTGCAAGTGCAATTACGTTTCTCAGTACTGGCGTAAATTATTTTTTATTGAAACGTTAAACAGGTTACTGATTACAGTTGTAAAAACAGTGAATTATTAAAGTAGTTTTGACTCAAGAAGGAAAATCTGTAGCACAACAAGGTTTGTTCAGAAAAGAACAGAACTTTTTAAATTACGTGCTAATAGAGATACCTGTATTTAGCGGTCCTCTGTAACTACATGTTATTGTGTTGTTGATATCTCATTTACAATTAGTTTTCTTGATATTATTATTTGAGCTAACGGAGATGATGTTATGGCTCGTACGCAATGTTTTACACAATTTAGAAGTGGTCGTCATTCAATTGAAGACGATCCTTGACCAGGAAGGCCTTTGACTCAGAAATTCAAAGATCTGGTGCGTGCAAATCGCCGAATAACTGTCAAAAACATTGCAGAAGAGGTTAGTTAGTACATCAATTATGTTATGCCATGAAAATTTGACTGAAAAATTAAACAAACATCGAGTTGCAGCAAAATTTGCTCCTCGTTTGTTTACCGAACAGAAAGAAAATCATGTGAACGTTTCTCGGTAACTCCTTGAACAATCCAATGAGGATGAAACATTCATTCAAAGTACCATAACGGGACCCGAAATCTGGGTTTACGGCTACGACATTGAGACAAAAGTTCAAACATCACAATGGATTGGCAAAGAATTTGCACGCCCCAAGAAAGCAGGTCAGTCTCGATCCAATCCGCAAAAAGACATCAGAGTTGTGGCGAGATTGATTCCTCAGTTTTATGCCAAAAATCAGATTACTGACCTACCTCATCCTTATTCGACAGACCTGGCTCCTTGCGGTTTTGTTTTATTTCCGAAATTAAAATCAGTGCTGATAGGATTAAATAATAGCCAAAATTTTACGTTCTATTATGTTAATCATTCTAATTTCCGTACTAATAAAATATGTCTGTCTATGAAATTGTCTTATTAACATTTGGATTCAAGATTTACTTATTATTAATGAATATTATCTTTAGAAAATTGTTATTGCTAAAATGTATTTATTTCTTTATTCATTTTGCCAAAAATCAACATGGACAACTACTTTATCACCGTTTCATTTGGGAGTTTATATTTACCTTCCCATATTTACTTACGATTTATTATTTTCAAGCCTATAAATAGGCGGTTATAAGAATGAGTAATGATTTATACCTATTTCTTACCTGTAATTTTTCTTATCAGAATTTTTTCAATGTTTTTAAGTAATAGATTTTTATGTTAATGGCCATGCAATAAATGCAGTGATGCAATGCTGTTAATAAAGCAAAATCATAAATTTTTAAATGTCAACAGTCTATAATATATTATTAAAAAATATATATTCATCGACAATTTTAACTTTATATAGGTAAATACTATTATTATTATTATGAACACTTCATTTCAATAAGGGATGTGACAACTTCATTGAAGATTTATTAAATTATTAATATGCATAAACAAATGCTTTAAAAGTGGGATGGTATCAACTACAAATCTTAATTAAAATACCTAATGGATTATTATAATTCTCCAAACAGGTTTTTTGACCGCTCCTAAATAGTTTTAATACAGTAAGTCACATGTAGGACAAAGAGTATTATCCGGGACATTTTTTTATTTATTTTGCATTGATATGTAAAATAAGTGATATATTTTCCGTTTCAACTTCGATTGCCGATTATGACTGTTAATTTTCAAATATCAATACATGTTTTTTCTTTTGTATCACAACTCCTGCGGAGTAAAGCATATACAGGATGTTCTGAAAGTCCGTCAGGAAACTCCGGGAGGTGATTCTACGTATTAAAATAATAGCAGTATGTAAATAATGAAAACATTTTTCGAATTGTCAATTGCAAGTTACAGCTTGTCAGTTTTTTTATTTTTCGATTTAAATAACTTATTTAATTCAAGTTCCATTAATCTCTCATTTTGCATACTCACTAAGTAGATGAAGTTCTATTAGAGCAGTCAAACAAAAGTTTCATTATGTGACGCTAGAGGGCACATCAGATAGAATTCAAAATTTGTTTTGTTCACAACCTTTTTTTTCTTGCTATAGATTACAGAAATTTAAGCATTGCTGAAAAGAGAAACAATATTAAGAAATTCAAGCCAATAAATGTAACCGTTTAACAGAAATCGCTATTAAAGTGATATTAAACATCAAATTTTTGATAATACTTTCTGCAGTTAATCAAGTTGCTATGTTGTAATACTATCTCCTGCGAAACCAGCTTCGTTAGTAAAATAAAATATTATTAGTAAAATCATTATCCTTATCTAAACTTATACCTACCTGCTTTAAACAACTTTTGTTACAATTCGTAACAGCAAAATTATTAATAATAATAATTTATTTGAAGCATGGCAACTTGATTTATTACAGAAAGAATGATAAAAAATTTGATGTTTAACAATACATTAGCGATTTCCTGGTAAACAGTTATCTTCATCGTCTTGAATAAAAAGTACATAATATTTCCTCAAATTGTTTCTCTTTTCAATAATGTTTAAATTTCTGTGATGTGTAGCAAGAAAAAAATGTTATGAACAAAACAAATATTTTGGGTTCTAGGTAAAGTGCCCTCTAGCAGTGTATAATGAAACTTTTCTCTGACTGGTCCAATAGAGTTTCATCTACTTAGTGGATGTGCCAAATGAAAGACTAATCGAACTTGAATTAAATAAGTTATTTAAATAAAAAAATAAAAAAAATTGAACTTTGACTAGCTGTAACTTGCAAACAATTAACGAAAAAATTACATACTGCTATTATTCTAATTTGTAAAATCACTCCCCGGAGTTCCCTGAGGGACTTTCAGAACACACTGTGTTTTTTAAACAACGTAAGTACTAATTAAAATATGCAGGAATTATATAAATATATTTTTTTGACATTCAAAAGAATAAAACTGAAGGAAAATATTTCCCAGTTGGATTTATTAAGTTGTTACTTTATACTCGTGTACATAATACTTCTATCAATTAATTTAGAGAAGTTAAAACAATTCCTGAAAGCCACAAATTTACCGTAATACCTCAACCTTAGGTATTATATTAAATTTGTAGGTTTCAGTAAATATTTTAATATGTCTGTGGTTTTAGAAAATATTTTAACTCATCGTGGTTTAGATTGATATATGATCTATGTAAAGTAGAAACAATAATTAATACACAATACAGAATACTTTTACTTTTCTTCTTGTTTTTGCATACCTATCAATAAAAAAATAGGATAACAATTCCTCTAAAGCAAAGTCTTTGCTTTTTACTTAAAGTGTGTGGATATTGGAAGTTCATTAATTTTCCAGTCATATACCTAGTTTATAGATCTGCTTTTCTACATAATGATTATTATTATTATTTTCTGTTTTAATATCCCACAACCAATAAATTATTATAAAGCGTCTTTTGACAACTATCAGGACCATTAAGTACTAATAAAAACCTTCTAGTTAAAATGATATTGATATGTATTACGACTCACCTAGTGTTAGCTTGTGCAATTGTAAATCCTGAGTACTCTTTACCATTTAAATCATTCACCACATTGTACCCAATTTCCTTCGCTGCTTCCAATATATCGTACGCCAATTCAGGCTGGTGCTTGAACCTTGCTGTTGTCAGTGGACCACCAGTCCCATGATAATTAGCATCTACCAAAGACCCAATCTCCTGGTTGTCCTCGAAGCTCTTAAACACGGGCAAAACATCCTTATAACTCCACCCCTTGTTACCAGCAGCTGCCCACTTGTCGTAGTCCCTAGGCGTACCTCTAGTGTACATCATACCATTGATCACGCTGCAGCCCCCAAGCACCTTCCCTCTAGGCCAAGAGCACCTCCTCTCTGGAAACCCTTGGCACCCTACAGGCTCAGGTTCTGTTCTATAATTCCAGTCTAGGTGAGGATTACCGTGGTAGCTCACCACCATGGAAGGCACTTGGGACCCCGGAGGTTCATCGTTCCCAGCTTCTATCAGTAGTACCTTCCAGTTGGGAACCTCTGAGAGCCTTCCTGCAGCTGCGGCACCTCCACTCCCACCCCCTATCACGACGAAGTCGTATTCAGGATCTGGTGTCGTTTTGGGAACCACCCTTTCACAGATCTCGGATATGTCGCACCGTTTCCGGATGAAGGAGTCCAGTAGGGTCATGAAGAGTACGAACGCGCCACCCCCGCACGTATTGTCGAGTGGAGGGCCGATGTAAGGCGCCGCGCAGCCACATTCCATTTTTAGTGACCGTTCAATTAGCTTTTCGGAGACGACTGAGCAAAAACGGGTCAGAATGGAATAAATATGCGGCGGCTGACTGGATTTATATCGTGAAACTGTTATTTGGTCAAGCCGCGCTCAGTGAGGCTGCAGACGCGAGGTCTGATGTAACTGGGGTATCCCGCGATGATACCGTATGAGCTTCGGAGTCACGACGCGTCTTACAAATCGTATATTTTTGGAACGTAAGGAACTCGGGAATAGTAAATTCCGAAAAAAGCAAAAGGTCAGCCGTTTTATGGATTAATAAAAAGTTATTATTTTGTATTAATTGTAATATTAAAATAATTGTGGTTTTATACAGCGATAAAAAAATAAGACAGGTTTTTTTGCGTTTGATGATTTTTTACCTTTCTCAATATTATGCCTATACTTTACATTTACATAGTGTTAAGATTAGGACTGTTACTTTTTGCTAATTAATTTGAATACCTAAAGTGTTGAACTTTTATGTTACTATGAACATATGTATAGGTATTTAAAATACGGTGGTTTTTCGGGTTGTTATGATGTGACCTATGTACTTAGTCGCCGCTAATTACAGACTTACATGCACTTTCTTAGCCTTAGCTAGGAACCTTTAACCTACCCTTGTTGTTCTCGGGTTAGACTCTGTGTGGGCCGCGGCCGATCTGCTAACAGTACCCCTAGGTCCGCCTTGATGATGATTTCGGTTCTCGTTGCTAGTTAAAGTCGTTACTTTTCTCTGGAACATTCCGAATTTTTAATCAGAAGCCGTGAAAGTTTTACAACATCTACAAAGTTTAACACCGACATTGCCAATTTTCACTCCTTCCTCCCTGAGAAAAAAAAAACTTCGAAATTTTGAAAAACTAATTTTTTTCGAATATATTCGGAACTATTAGGAATTTTCAAATTTTAAAAACGAATCCGCGATCGCCATAAAATTCTGCACAATTTTTACCATTTGTGTAACTCTAAAAATAAGAAAAATACCTGTATAGGACAATTAAAAAGTTGTAACCCTGTATGTTGATATAACTTATTGTCACTCAAAATTTTTGTGCGTTAAAATTTTTTCTTAGCAAATGTAACTTTGTATAAACTTTAGTTAATGAATATCTGGCTTACAGTGGAGCTAATGTTGTCATAGTAGCTACACAATAACGATGTTCATAAATTTATAAGCTTATTATTACGAAAGAAAAGTTCAAAATGCGTAGAAGAATATTGGAGAGGAAAAAAAATTAGAATTGAATTTTGCACAATATACTGTAAGTTAAAAATGCTTAAATTTATTACCAATGCTGAAAAAATAGCAATAATTGATGAAAAAAAGGCCAAATAATTAAGTTTTTTGGACATCTTTTTTTTTATATTTTAATTGTTCCGAAGGCATTCTAATTTTGGTAAAAAAAACTTTAGAGTATAATAAAATAACACACCAAATTTCATTAAAATCGTTTGGATAGTTTTCGCAAAACAATTTTTGAAAAAAAATTTGAAATGAAATTTTTTAATTTTCAAAATGTTGCACAGCTTCAAATAAAACATCTAGATATGTACTTGAAAATTTTTTTACATAGAAAAGACCGCTCAACCTTTTAAATGGTTTTTGAAAAATTGAAATCAGTTGATTAGGACGGCCACAATTTTTAAAGTTGACATCCTTTTTTTATTTTTAAACAATTAGATTACATTTATCAATTTGCAATTTAGTTTTTTTCAAAAATTATAATTTTAAAGTACTCGGAAACACGTTTCTTTTTTTAAAGTTAAATTCCGTTTATTGGTTCTCGAGATATTATTGGCATTTACCATTAATTTATAAAGAATTTATCAATAATATTTGATCCAGTGGCTTCGTTTTTCCGAGTTCTAAGCTGGAAAAAATTTTCATATCCACAAGTTATGGCAACATAGATAAATCAGCGGAAAAACTGTCGCTCGTACGCGCGAAAAATGACTCAAAACATGAAAGGTTGGAGAGGGGGCTTTCGCTCCGAGACTGAATTCGGAGGTTCAAAAAAAAAATCATTATCTCGGCTTCTAATGGACCAATTTCGATCTTTTTTTTTACTCCGACGTCTCGCGAGCCAAAGGAATATCATAATGCCAACTGCCTAATTTGCACATACTTTGTTATAAACAAAGTTTATTATTTATGTGTTAAATATACTGTATATTTTACCCTATGCTATTGCATTTTTTCAATGAAAAAATTTGTTTACGTATATATTTCAACATTCTGAATATGAATGTATTTTGTTATAAATATTACAATAATTAAAATTATTTTTGTTTAAGCAAATAAAAAAAAAATCTATTTGCAAATTAATTTTTTTGTTAAATACATAAAATTAAGAAAAAAATAGTACTTGAAAATTATAATTTTTGAAAAAAACTAAATTGCAAAATGATAAATGTAATCTAATTTTTAAAAATTTACTGTGGCGGTTCTAATCAACTGATTTCAATTTTTCAAAAACCATTTGAAAGGTTGAGCTTTATTTGAGGCTGTGCAACATTTTGAAGACTCGAAAAATTTTTTTTTTAATTTTTTTCAAAAATTTATTTTGCGAAAACTATAGAACCGATTTTAATGAAATTTGGTGTGTTGTTTTATTATACTCTTAAGTTTTCTATCAAAATTAGAATGCCCCCGGAGCAATTAAAATATTTTTAAAAAATTATCCAAAAAGTTTGATTATTTTGCCTTTTTGCAATTATTGCTATTTTGCAACATCGGTAATAAATTTAAACATTTTTAACTTACAATATATTGTGCAAAATTCAATTCTAAAACTTTTTTCCTTTTCAATATTCTTCTAAAATGCATAGATTCCAAGACATAAGTAAACTCAGATAAAATGGGTATTTTTTAAAATTTTTTAAACATTTTTGCAATTTTGAAAATGTTTATTATGTGAATTGTACTGAAGGTAATCTAGAAAAAATTTACTTGCCCCTTCTCACATCCACCTCAAAACAGATCCGCCCTGGTCTAATTATCCATGATGTCTTTTTTGCAGTTGGATATTTTCAGATGCCCCCTAGTTCGGATGTTACTAATTAGCCATTTTTCAAATTTTATGGTATTTCTCATGTACAATAATTATACTGTTTAGTTCAGTACCTACTGATATTTTGTAACAAAAGTACAGTGAAATAATGTATGTAAATTACAGAAATGTTTACAGACTTGGAGATGATTTTTCATAATAGGATAAATAAATACGATAGTTGTAATGCATTAATAATAAGTATTTTCGATAATCAAAATCGTTAAAACTGAAAATTGTTAAAATTTGGTAATGATCCTCAGGTTACAAACTATATAAAAAGTAGTGAACAGTTATGGCGATAAATGGCATGTCGTTCTCTTTTTTTTTGTAGTAGGTATACCAAAAAATGACTATAGTAGGATCGTATTCGATGCAAAGTAGAGCAAAAAATTGTCAGCCTTTTATCAAAGGAAAATCGTGTCATCATTTTTAGGAGGCGTAAGATGAACCATTTAAAATTTAAAATGAAATTGAATGTAAAATCTGAAATACCGCTGCATACGAACTTGTGTTCTGGTTCTAGCTGTAGTCGGCCAGGTGCATCGAGTGTACGATTATACGTCAAATACTAACCTGACGAGCTTGATCGTAAAGCAGGGAACAATAAACAGTAGCGCGTACAGAGGTAAAATGTAGTACATATGTGGAATTTAAATAACGAATTGGATTTATAATATTTAATAATTAAATAATTTTTAATAGTTTATGAGAATAAAGGGATTTTTGTAGGAACAGGGTTCCAGACGTGAACTGATCCCTTCATCGCACCCCATTACGATTCTTTTTTTTAGAACGAAGTTTCAAAGCAAAAACCTTGTATAACAGATATACTATAAATATTTACAGAATGAAAACAAAATATAAATCCTATGATATGATTCTATCAAATGAAAACACTAACAACAATTCTCTATCAATCTCAACAAAATAAGTTATTTTTCTATCAAACAAGAAATATTAACAAATTATAAACAAAATATAAATTCTATGATTTATGTATTGTACGCCGAACTGCATTTTTCTCATCATCATTTAATATTAATTTCTTCTTTCCACTCCCTTTTTAGGTTTTTTAATGTCTCCTTCATTTTTCTTCTCTCTTAAAATTTTGAAAACCGATGATTCGCTTACTCCAGTATATCTAGAACATATTTCCACCAAACCAGCCTTCAGTTTCAAGGGATGATCCTTTTCTAAAGCGTTATAGACATTTAATATTATCGTTTTTTCTCTGTAACTTGATACAGATTTTTTTGTACCCACAGCAGTACACCCGGCTTGCGAACATCCAGGCACCCCCTCCATTTCTCCATATAACGACAACAGAGCAATAATTATACAAAAAACTTCACTTCACTAGCACAGAAAATATAATAGCATTCACGATTCACAAACAACATCCCAAAACACACACACAGCACACAAATAAAACACTAAAACACTTTTGTTACGGTGCACAAGAAATATGATTTCACTCACAAATTCTCAAATAATAGCGCGAAACACACATACAGCCCGAACGAAATATAATTGCACTTATAACAGTTATAACCTCACAAATATCGCGAGCGAGAAACACGCAGCACCAATACAACCGAAACGAAACTGACCACGCCGGGCCGGCACGCGCGCTGCCGCAACAAACACAAGACACAAGTCATATGAGGGAGCATGAAGGGAGTAATAAATGTATTGTTGCCCTGCCGCCCTATGTGCGAAGGAGATGCCTTTGTTTTTCATTTTGTCCTTCATAAATATATAACTATTAATCCATAATGCAGAAAGAAATTATTCAATTTCCAAAACCCCCTAAAACGTGTTGCACTGATTCCCTTGACAGGCAATGATTTATTACTTTGCATCGAATATGATCCTACTATAGTTCAATATTCGGTTACTATCAGTTGTATTAGTTTTCAGTAGGTGTCATTGTTAGTGAACAAATGTTTATGTGAGACTATATATTTTTTCTTTGAACTGTGTTTACGTTTTCGTCA